TAAAATTAAGGCAAATTCTGCAGCTTTGAAATGAAAAACGCCACTGAAGTTCACAACCAGGCGTCATAGATGTGCACTGCAGAAGTTTTCCCAGAAAACATTAAAAACTGGTATGTATGTACAATACCAGTGCGTCGTGTAGACTTATGAATGTCCGCATTTATATGGTTAAACATTGCTGTTGTTGTGTAAGCTTGAAGCTCTTTCCGGCTGTCTGCAATGCACAAAATCGTTTCAATAATACTGGTTCTATCGAAAAACCATTGCGTGGGTTCAGGTCCAATGTTCACCACGCAACAGCTATTTTCGCTAAGTAGGTAATTTTTTTTTAATTTTTCTTGTTCGCCCACATGCCCCAAAACATATCAAAGCGATTATTTATGTGGGACCCCGTCAGTTTGTATACCTAAGAGATTAACTACCCAATATAACATTGTAGGCATGAGCACAAAGGTCTTCCAAATTAAGCAGTCTATGATTTATGACATTCAAATTAGCTATACAAATGTTTAACCGTATCAAATCACTCCTAATAGCATCACTTTGCCAAAACAGTTTTTTTTCGATTCGATTGTTTTGTCTGACCGCATTGTGCATTTTGGTAAACCGATGCAAATTTGGCACCTTTTTCAAAAATCCCTGGCCTTTGTGGTTCGTTTCATGACCGCAGCCGCATTTTGAGCATCTGTGAGTCGTGACAACCGGAATTGGTCTTCGACTGTTTTGTTCGTTAAAGGATTTAGATCCCGAATTCGAAATTTCTTCACTAAGTCAGTGGTTGACAATGTGCAGCTCAAAGACTTGTTCCCATAAGCATTAACTTTTTCTAAATTGCTACACTCGGAATTATGTTGGTTTCATACCGATTTTATCACATTCACGAAGAAATTGCAATCTTATCAACTAATATTTAAATAAATTGATGCAATGCCACATTTAACAAAACTGCACAGAATTGATTGAATTCAACATGACAATCTAGAAATGAAAACACACTTATTTTGTTGGTACGTTCAAAAATCTCCTTCATCCGTGTCTGGAGATAAAATCAGAGATGCAAGTGGGAATTTACATTTAAAACAGTAACACTTCAGCAAGCCGGCAGACGATTTAAATACTAGTTTCCCTTTGATAATAATTAATATTAAGTGTTTTCCTCTCGAGGTCTTGGGGAATTTTGCTGTAATAATTTTGAGCGACAAGAAAATTGCTCCCCACTTGTTTTCTATGCAAATGTTTCATCAACAATCATTTTTTAATGATTTATGTATCCGATTGTGCAGGTCGAGCAGCATCAATTAACACTGAATACATCCAGCGTCCAATTATAACAGTCCCACTTTCGAAGAGCAAACTCTTACTCGTTGATTAACAAACATTGTAAGTCGATATTAATTGGGTCGATTGGTGCTGGAAATGGAAACTAAGATGCGACCGTTAGCAAGCAGATCGTCAAACCTCCGTAATGGCCATATGCATAACCTAGTGATTTATTATGTACGCATCAAATAATATATTTCGTCGCTGGAATATTTTACTGTTATCACGTCCAAACGTGGGACTGGCATTTCATGGGAGAATATTTCATTGATTATTATTGAAGTGGCTTTGTTGAATGAAGATGGTGTCTTATTGTAGTCTAGCCCGACAATAAAATCAATCAAAGTGCCTTCTAGAGAATACGTAATCCAATTATTCCACCCTCAAATGTTACGATATCGCAAAATATAAGACTTTCCCCCGACCAAACCCATCAACAATCACTTATTCAAGGGAATAAATCAAGAGAGAGTCTAGGAGTTAATGGGTAGTTGAAAATGCACTTGCAGGCCAGACACGGATTCATTAGCCACTCAAGAAACGATCACCAGAGATGATCTTCTCATCGTTAACGGTTCTCATGTGGCAAACCGTTCGGATTTGATTAGAAGAGATTTTACGCTGTTAACAGTGACTGTTATTAATAGCCACAATGTTTTTCAGAAACCTAAGGCCAACACCTTTCGATCAGGAAATTGGGTCTGGCTTTTTCAAAGAAATTGCTTTTAAAAAGGAAACTGCAGCTAATAGGTAGATGATTAGAGTTATTTTTATGGGCAATCGATCGCGTGATCAGGAATAGAACAAATTTGCTTTAATCAAAGGTAGTGTCGAAAAAATATAGGTCGTCCTCGCTATATTCGCTTCGATTGGTTATAGTACCAAACGGCAACAGTAGTTTTCAAGCAAAACCTTTTTTGTTATTATTTTAACACTAGTATACATTTTCTCTTAGTGGCTAGTAGTAACACCTTAGCAGAAGGTTTTAAAACACTCAATGAGTTCTTAAACTTGACCGAGACTTTGGATCTCTTGGTTCCCTGAAGTAGTATTGAAGGTTGCCTCCACAAAATTGGAGAGTTTATCGTGTTTTCCGACTGGTAGAATACACTGTTTTAGGACGGCCGAAAAACTCGCAAGTTTCAAGCAACATTGGCTGAAAACTGGTGAGTTTTTCCCTCGTTAGACATCTCCAAGCATGAAACCGATTAATAATCCAGAACAGATAATAAGTAAACACATTTACTATTACAGTCTGTTAATTCTCAATTAAATGTAAAGCTGTTGAATAACTGCAAAACCCACTCGATCGCCACATACTTCCGATGTAAATTGTCTTTCAGGCACCGTTTCTTTTATATTGCACATATTCGGTGCACGCATCCTTAATAATGAAGCATTAGATCGGCCATTATTCCATGCAAAAGTGCTTTTCTGTTATATTTACTGCAAGTTCGCATAATTTAGCGAGATTTTCCCTCAGATTCCCGCGAAGAAGACAAAGCGGCCGTATATAGCGAGGCCCAAGCGAGTAAATTATAAGTTGGGTGCTGAGTTATTATATGGTTTCAGTCAGTGCAGACTCGTTCGCATTTTCTTAGTAGACATTAAGGTTTTTTCCAAAAATTCAATTATAATCATAGCTTTGGAGCTTTGGAAACTCAGTCGATTTAAAACACTCGAATTTACATTAGTTTTATGGAGGAAACGAGAGGATCTTTAGACGACTGTCACGAACTAGAAATTAGCTAACAACTACCTTCAAAGACGTGTAACAATATCGGCAGAATTTTTATCACTGGGAAATTACTAGGTAGAAGTAATGGTGGAGTTGCTTGTTCAGAACAAATGTTCTGAGATAATAAGAAGACCGGAAATCATTCTCCTGAAGTCATTGATTGGCTGTGTCCTTAAATCAGAAAAATGTGTTGGAGTAGCACAAGCACATCTACTCAACGCACAAGTGCATAATCATGCATCTTTATATTAAAACAACTGCACTTACATTTTCAATTAATAGAAGATGACGGTGATTCCCATGAAGGTATCAATTACTTCTAGTCATGAACAAATCCCATTCAAAGTGCCGCATAATTTCGATATTCTGTGTCAAGTTCTCCACGACAAATCGGAATGTTGCTTAAATAACTGTCATTAACTTAATGAAAGCCATACAATTAATACAAAAAACGGCCGGATTGTTTCCTTAATTGGTGACAATAGAGCTAATTGGATAATGCAAATTAGATTGATTGATAATGTCAGGGTTGAATGGAGCAACTTGGAGCCATTCTTATGAGAAAAACTGCAGGCGTTCTGTTGCTACAGACGAGTTCTTTGCACAACCAAAATGTTAAATACTCCATTAAAAACAGTCAGTTAATGCCCCAACGGAAAATTCCGCGAACAATGCATTAAATCTCTTCAGTTGGTTGAAAGCAATTATTGGCAGCCAATCAAAATCGACGAACGCCGCTAAAACACACTTTTTACTCATGCCCAGCGCTGCCCATATGGGGATGTGTCGTCCAAATCGTTCAACAAGCCTGAAAAGCATATTGATTCTTCAAATTCTTCGCATAGGTATCCAAGGCCCTTATTTCAAAGAGTCATACTCTTCTTATTCATCCATTAGGAAGCACTAATGTGCAATTTTTTTCTCTGTTATTACCTTCTGAGCTCATAAAAAGCTGAATGACTTTGGACAAAGCTGTTTTTAATTAGATTTCCATCTGCGACCGTGATACCATCAACTAACGGATTTTTTACCATTGTGACGGTGTTTGGTATGCCATTATTCGTGAACTGTTGGAAACTTAAGATGTACATTCAAACTGAGGATTTGGAGGCTCCGGGGTGACACTTGACGATTCTGAGCACTCGCCTCAGACAGCAAGTGTGAGAAGAACAAAAAGCAGTCAGCAATTCCGCGAAACGTTAATTAAGTAAATACCTACCAACGTGTGTTTTTTACGGTTTGCTGACGATCAACAAAAGACAAGATGTCAACAACCAGTAGGAAACGGATCGGAAAAAAGTACAAGTCGTACTTAAAAATAATTATAGCAGTACGCCTTGACAATGACTCTGAATCCATTATGCAACTTCTTACGCCGGGTTCTCACACACCTACCTTCAGGTTTTTAACGCCATGTCTTGCAACAGACAGAGCCGGCACCAGATATGGTTTTATTCAGAAATGCCCCAAGCAGCAAATTACGCTCATTTTAGATGGTGTTGATTCGCAGGTAAAACGTTCACTTTTCGGACTTTTGGCCAAACGCTTCATCTTGTTGGAGATAGTTAATTAGGCCGTAAATTTTGGAAATAAAAGTTTCAATTAATTTTTCGATTCGAAACGTGGCACTGTCCGAGAGGGATCTTAGGAAAATACATAATACATGGAAGATTTATTAATTGTCGGTCGAATGCTTCATTACCAAGTTCGGCCCTGTTTCATCCAGCAATTATACAGTGGCGCTTTCACTAATATGTAATCACTTATACAACGGTTGTGACCGTGACATTGAACTTGTCTGACTCACATGCGAGGATATTGTTGAATGCCAATTTTTTCGCAATAGAATTTATATTTAAATAAAAACGAACTCGATTTAATTTTCACTCGAAATATACTCTAATTCCAGACATTTTAATGATTATTTGTTTGATTGTTTTAGGACGCGCCATGAAGGCGTGGACTCAGCTACTAGAGCCCGGGCCGGCGATAGCTACACTTTGCATCTCATTTTTACTTGCCACTCAATGCCATGCCGGTAAGTACCGAACAATGTATTTATTAACACATTATCAACAGCACCAAGGCATAAAATTAAGGACAGATAGATAGAAGAAAAGGTAGAAATCAAGCATGTGTAAAAAAGAACGGATTTCTAATTGGACTAAAATCGACTCAAATGCTTAAATCATTGGTATAATTTGCAACTTGGGCAGGGTGGACAGCCTGTACATTAGCAAAAAGTGAATTGAAAATCAAATTCAACGGTTTTGTGATAAGAAATTGATATTTATCTCAATATCATCATCTGTTGCACTGTAATGCACTGTAATACAGACTATATTTATGATCAGTAAATGCAATTGCAAAAATGTTAAAGGTCCGAAGAGAGATCTTACTTGCATCGTGGTATAATGGAAGCTTCCAACATTTGTTTTTAGTAAACTTTGTTAACTTGACTCATAAAAAAAATCAGTGTTCCAAGGACTTTAAACTGTTAATTGTTGATGAAATAAATGCATTTTAAAGACTCATCTCTTATATAGGTCAGAACCCACAACTTTTTTGATTGGTTTGTACGAGAGAACGCGAAGTGAAAACTTTTTTTTAACTTTCTCAATTTTGAAATTGTTTTATGGTAAAGAGGGTTCAAACCTGTTCCAGAGCCTCAAGCCGTAAAACACAATTTAACGTTTATGCTATTAGCTTATACAAACACTGCCATTCCATGTTCTGTGGTAAAGGCTTTTTACGTAGAGTATGTTTTCTTTCAATAGTATTTCACACTTTTCTAGCCCTGCTGTGTATAAAATGCAGGAAAATGTAGATTTACAGGGAAACATGTAAATCCAACAGGTATGAGCATTAAAACAATTTGCAAAGCAGTGTTTATGCAGGGTGCGCCAACTAAAACGAAATAGAACTATTTTTCGGCTGATAAAAAAAAGTTATGTGAAAATGTTGCGGTGTAATACCATCCATAAAGTGAAAGTTTAAGGTCAAATTAAAGCATTTTTGCGAGATTTTATAGTGCTAGAAAACTTTCCTACTTTGAAGCAGCCGCTAATGATTAAATAAATTATTTGTTTTTAGGGCTCAAAATCTATAATGCACAAAATTACTTAAATCAAGTGTTCAAAATCTAATCCTTTGGTTTCTCTGTGTCATACCCTGTGAATTTATCGAGTGTCTATCGCTGATCTAATGAATTTGATACTTGAAAATGGTTTATTCGACTTCAAAGAGATTTTAAATTATTGCATTATTTTTTCATTGGAAAATGTGCGTACTCAGTAGCTAATGGTTCAATTCTTAACGCGAAAAAAGACTCGTAGACATTTGCATAGCAATTTTCGTTCAGTTTGCGAGACTGACTAGGACTTTACTCATTGCATATTGCACTGTGCTTAAGCCGTCAACAATTTCTAAATGAAAATTGGTCCAATTGAATGAGCTGCATGGTCTTCATATTTAACTCTATTAAGATTTGTTCGAAACTGTGCCTCGCTCCTTCAGAAACTTTGGAAGTTTTGCGAAAACACATTGTTAATGAAAGCCGAAAAATAACTCTCAAAACACGATTGAAAACAGTTAACGGAAAGCATTTTAAACACTTGTTTTGAGTACCTTTGTGCCTTCATAATAATAGATTTGGTCATCAGCGGTTGTTTCAAAGCAGCAGATTTTTGTAATATCATAAAAACCTCAAAAGAACCTTCAATTTGATGTCTCTCCTGTCCAAGGGGACCCAGGCAATGACAGCAAGTATCTAACTTGTTGACTAACCACCAGTTGAGTTGATCAACCGAGAAAACTTGCTCTGTTTCGATTTTGTTGGCACACCCTGTACAAAATATATCGGATACCGCTGCCGGCACCCTGTATAAAACACTAGTTTCAGCTCAAAAATTGAGCCCAAAATGCGTTTTCATCTAAGACAGATCAACTCAATAAGTGTGTTCAATTTTAATGTAAAATACCGGTTGCACAAAATGTCAAATTCCAATCAAATGGGGGGCTATAAGAATTAGGACTTCAAAAATGATCAAATTGTCTTACCAATTCTGCGCATCATGAAGCCCAATAGGTCGAACCGCAGAAGATCCAATACCAACAATATTTCCATATGCAATCGCAGTTTTTCGCTCTTAAATACGATTTAGAAAAAAAACACTCCCGAATCCGTCAAAAATGGCCGGACAAAGTAGGAAAGGGTGACGCGCAATTGGACATGTCATTTGCATGGCCAATCCAGATTTAAATATTTTAGACAAATTAAGCTATAAACAGTTTTCATTTTTTTTAATTGACTGACAGGTGTCCGACAAGACGCACGTATTGTTGAGAGAGACACGGAATGTGTGGACGTATTGACAATATACAATGTTTTTTTGTATTAATAATGTGATTGAATTGTTTCGATGCTCACAGGGATGAGTTAAAATGTTACAGTCGGGTCAGTTGGGCGACTTTTTTTTCTCCCTGTTTTAATAAACTTATTTTTATTTTTCTAAAAGCGCTATTAGCACACATTTTACATTAGAAAAATTAGGAAAAAATGAGCAGAAATTTTAGATACCAACGGAGCCTGGGAAAATGACGTTTTCTTCATAAAATATACCCATTCTTTTAATTTTTCACTGCCAAAAGCTGAATCGCACAGGAAAGTTGTCGGACAGTTTTTTCTTGCCAATCAACAAAGACAAACACAAAATTGGATTTTCTTTTCAAAAGCATCTAGTTAAGTGTTTGACAACGCTAAAATATATTTTTTTTTGCAAACAATGTCTACTCAAATTTCCTATAAACAACTAAAATTGATTAGTCTCTAGCGGTTTGATAACAATAATTTTTATTCTTTATACTAACAGTTAATATATTCCTTTAACAACGTGTTTTTCGAATACTGTTCTGAAACAAACTCTCTTTCTTCATTTTTTTGCTTCGGAATCGAACTATTCTAACACAACCGCACTCTTGGACTCACAAAACCGATAACAGATACGAGTTCACTTAAATTCACTAAAAAAAGCAGAAACAACAAGTTTTTGTCCTCTACATCCTGTTTTTCAAAACTCGACGTTTCTTAAAAAACCTATTTTTCTGAGAATCTTCAGCTTCTAAATTTCTAAAGACTATTCACTTTAAAGCGAGCGTAGTTTTTGGGTTAGTCAAAATTTCGTGGACACGAAAGAAAAACAAGACTTTTATCTTCAAAATTCATGTTTCGTATTCTAGATATTGTAAAAGATCAGGGAGCTACAGCCAAATGAATCGGGTAAAGCTCCAAGCCTCAGAAACTGAGCCCTAAAACATGATTTACCAAAAACAAAATAGACTACTAATTGGGATATTTTTAACCAAATTATAGAAAAAACTTGGAGTTGCAGATATATATTCCATTTTTCACTTTCTCCCGTTTTTTACGCACCTCAAAAATGCTTTAAAATAACACAGCTGCAGGCAAATAACTGTAGAAAACTTCAGAATCGCACACCCAAAACAAGAGCTTCTTGCTTATTTAAGAAACAGAGGAAAGAGAAGGGTTTTGCATTCCAAATGGCATTTTTGAGAATGCGGGAAGTTATTGAGATAGTGGAAGTATGGCCAAATTCACCAACAAGTTCTCACAATCCAGAACTATAAACGTTATTTAGCCGAAAACGTGCTGAGTGCTTTAGCAAATTCTGAATTAGGAAAAACGGAAGAAGATATTTTTCCAAACTAAAATTTCCAGGTGCGCTGACGAAGCTTTTCTTCTGTGAAGGCTAAGAGCGTAAATCCCTAAACAGCAATGTAGTATTTCTAATTTCGATTTTGGGCAGAGATCAACAACTTTTTTCCTTATATCCGTCATATTGTATTTTTGCATTTTGAAAGAAACGTAATTTATCCAAGTTTACTAGCTAGTCTCAAAACTGCCACTCTGTATATATGCTGGTCACTGTCGCAGCTTGAAATTGAAAAAGAGCAAGTATATTACTCAGTTCCCATTAGCGAAAAGATGAAGATGAAAGAATCCATGATAGCAAAATTCCAATATAAGTGAAATGTTCAAGAAATAATCAATGAATATGGTACACCTACCACCTATGGCTAGAAAGATTTGCAACTGATCATAAGCAAACCGGTAAATATCGAAACAATATTCCTCTCAGACACATAATGCGAATGGAATGCCCGCAAGCAGGCTACTGACGAACAATGCATTATAAAATCGCTGGGCGAATTATTCCAAAGAATCAGCGTGGTTCTCGTGAATTGTCAAATGAATGAATCCATCTATCAATGGAAGACTTATCTACAGGCGATTCTCGAAACAATTTGTTATTGACATTCATCCATTCGCTCGTAACGCTTGATCGCCGATTCATTCGCTGATGTCAATGTTGAGACGATGTTTTCTCAGCGACAAATTTCATTTACCAGATTACGTACCATGAAGACGTCAGCAGGAATGATTTGGGTCAAGATGAATCAATCCCAAAGAAAAAATGGACCTGAAGACGAAACTGGTCCAATTTGCGCTAGATTCTCTAAGAGCGCAACAAGCTCTCTGAGTTAAGTCCATTTGCTCATTTCGGACACCCTGTATACCTGTACCTACATCAGGTACCAAGAGATATAGAAAAAACTTGTCAGGAGTTGTATGCTAAATTAGAGCAGATAAGAGAAGTTATTCAAATAGGCGATGTCCCATTTTTGAAGGCGTCGTGTGTTCTTTTTGGGTAAAACATAAAATTTGAAAAAGTTTGCTCGCTTAAGAGATACCGGGAAAAAGGACCGTATATTTGCATACATACAGCAAAATGTATTAGTTTTTAAGTTTGACTCAAAAAGAGGTTGTGTCACCTATATTAGTTACTCTAAATTTGTCAAAAATAGAAAGAATGAGGTTCATGAAGAAGCAAATAGCCAGCAAACGGATCGTTGAAAAAAAGAGTTAAAATATTCTTGCCAAGCATTGCGCTCAAACTTCCTGCTTTATTTGCTGCCAATGTGGTTCAGAAAGAATCTAGTTTTCATAAAAATTCAACTTTGAGTTGCGGCCATTGTGTCAAGGACAACGTACTTAACAAATAAAAATATAATTCATTTGGATAACTTCCGACAGTTCCAATAAATTTTCTATTATATTTGAGGCTTCCTCATGATGTCTGATCCATTCAGGGAGAACTAACTTTGATTTCGTTAAGGCTACCGATACAGTTTTGCGCCTAATAAATCCGACCGAGCAATTGAACAGTTAGGATCAGTTGCACCGATCTAGAAACGGGCAGCTGTAAAAATCGGGCGCTATGTAGGCCTGCAGCAGGCCAGCTCCTTTTCCACGACGGTGCCATCATAAATTTTCGAAAACAATCCCGCTTTCCGCGTTCACATCAAGTCAGATTAAGAAGAATTACGATATGTATACGCGGATCGTGATTATGTACCGGCATTTACAGTTATCTGCTTTACCTGCCGATAACATGTTATACCATTTCACGACCAGGCCAGACTACGAAGGCCCATCGCTGAAATAGCACCGATGCAGCACCCCGCAGGAATTCTTAGACGAGGCGCGACTATCTAACATGAAATGTTTTCAAAACTACAAGGTTTCACTTCAAAAATCCGATATGACGGATCTAAGAAAAAAAGATGTTGAGGGCTACCCAAAATCGAAATTAGAAATATAACATTTCCGCTTATGGATTTACTTTCTCAGCATTCGAAGACGAGTTCCAACATAGTCCGTTATTGCACCTGGAAAGTTTAGTTTGAAGATCAAAAACCCTTCTTTTCTTCCGTTTTTTGGTAGGTAAATTTTAAATTGCTCAAGCACTGAGCTGGTTTTCGGCTAAAGAACACTTAAAGTTCTGAACGATTTGCGGGTGAATTCGGCCATACACCCACTATACCAACAACTTCCTTCATTCTGAAAAATGCCATTTGGAAAACAAAACCCTTTTTCTTCTGTTTCTTAAATATTATAAATCACTAAAGAATTACGTCCGCTTTGAAGTTGCAATTATTTTCAATTTTAATTTCCCAATATTCTCAGATATATTGCCTTGCATTCAAACAGATTTGGAACATGTGAAGAATGTGATTTGAAGCAGAAAGCCTGTACGTTCTTCGGTTTTTCCGTTTCTTTTTTCGGAGATGATGTTTCCAGGGTGCATTTGGTTGTAGCTCTCTAATTTTGGGCATAGAAAACATGTATTGTGAAGATAATGGTCTTGTCGTTCTTACAATTGTTGAAACATAAGCTTGGTGTCCGATTCTGAAGTTGTCCGCAATTGTTCGCCTGCAGCTCTGTTATTTTAAGCATTTCTGATGCGCGCAAAAAGCAAAGAAAGAGAAAAATGAAATCTTGCTTTCACTTATGCAATTTGGGTATTCGAAATCTCCTAAGAAGTAAAGCCGTTACGGGATAAATCCTGTTTTAGGGCTCAGTTCCTGAGGATCTGAGATTCTCCCGATTCATTTGGCTGTAGCTCCCCAACTTTTCACATTATCTAGCATTCGACACATGGATTGTGAAGGTGAAAGCCTTCTTTTTCCTCCATTTTTCGAAAATTTTGATTCACTGAAAACTACGCTCGCTTTGAAGTAATACTAGTTGGAGATTTAGAAGCTGAAGATCTTCAGATATATAGCGGGACGTCTGAAAAATGTCGTTTGAAGAGAAAAGCTTTGTATTTCTTCGGTTTCCGTAAAATTGGATTTGCTTGGAAAAAATGGAAAAGTTTGTCAGATAATTTTTTTTTCAGTTTCGTTACTTAAAAAATGTCATGCTTTGAAAATAGCATATACATAACATAACATACATAACAAAAACCATGTTGTGCCCTAAGTGTGCTTTGGGGCTCACATTTTGAGGCAACTCGGATTTATTAGAGATAAGGATTTTTATAAATCGCTTTCAATTGTCTTTTCTAATACACCTAGAATTTATGTTTAAACTTTTTTTCTAAATTTTTTAAAAAGCCTGTTTGGAATGGTTCGTTTCCTAAGCAAACAACCGAAGAATCAAAAAATGTTATGAGCTTGTTTCAGAACAATGTTCGAAAAATTGTTGAAGAAATATAAGCTGTTACATATTTGGGTGCAAAAAATCCTCCGATCTTCCGTGAAACTTTTTCTAACTAGTTCAGCGAAAGACGTCGTCTAATGAAAGATTTTGAAAATCCCAAACACTCATTCTCAACAAGTGTTTTAAAATAAGTTTTCATGATCGAATCAGGAAATGGATGGTTTCTAATGGCG